CAAGCTTGCTCCCTCCTCCCTATGACTTCATCTCACATATTTATACATGGCTAGCATGTCTCCTCTCAGCCTTCTCTTCTGCAGGCTAAACATGCCCAGCTCTTTAAACCGCTCCTCATAGGGCTTGTCCTCCAGACCCCTGATCATTTTAGTCACCTTCCTCTGGACAGTTTCCAGCTTGTCAATATCTCTCTTCAATTGTGGTGCCCAGAATTGGACACAATATTCCAGGTGTGGTCTAACCAAGGGAGAATAGAGGGGTAGCATGACTTCCCTGGATCTAGAAACTATACTCCTATTGATGCAGGCCAAAATCCCATTGGCTTTTTTTTTTGCCACCGCATCACATTGTTGGCTCGTGTTTAACTTGTTGTCCACGAGGACTCCAAGATCTTTTTCACACGCACTGCTCTTCATTTTTTCAACCGAAATGGAGTATTTTGCATTTATCACTATTGAACTTCATTTTGTTAGTTTTGGCCCATCTCTCTAACTGTCAAGATCGTTTTGAATTCTGCTCCTGTCTTCTGAAGCATTGGCTATTCCTCCCAATTTGGTGTTGTCTGCAAACTTGATGATCATGCCTTCTAATCCTTCATCTAAGTCATTAATAAAGATGTTGAACAGGATGGGCCCAGGATGGAACCCTGAGGCACTCTTCTCATCACTTCTTTCCCGGATGAAGAGGAAAAATTGTTAAGCACCCTCTGGGTTTGTCTGCTTAATCAATTACAGATCCACCTAACCGTAGTTTTGCCTAGCCCACATTTGACTAGTTTGTATGCCAGAAGGTCATGGGGGACCTTGTAGAAAGCCTTTCTGAAGTCCAGATACGCTACATCCACGACATTCCCTGCATCTACCCAGCTTGTAACTATCGAAAAAGGCTTTCAAAGGCTTTCATGGCAGGAATCACTGGGATCAAATTAGTCTGGCATGGCTTGTTTTTGATAAAGCCGTGTTAACTATTAGCAATGACTGCAATTTTTTCTAAGTGTTTCCAGACCACTTCCTTAACAATCTTTTCCAGAATCTTGCCTGGTATCGATGTGAGGCTGACTGTTTGGGTCATCCTTTTTCCCCTTCTTGAAGTGTTGTTGATCTGGCCCTGGGGACTTGAAGTCGTTTAAAGTGGCAAGGTATTCCTGGAGTTCTGCCTTTTCCCTGTGAGCATTGCCCCATCTCCTTGAAGAGGCCCTTCTTCCTTCTTCCTCTTTCTACTGACATAAGAAAAGAAGCCCTTTTATTGTTTTTAATGTCCCTGGCAACCCTGAGCTCATTTTGTGCTTTAGCCTTGCGAACCATCCCCACAGGAGTTGGCTATTTGTTTGAATTCTTCTTTGGTGATTTCTCCCATTTTCCACTTCTTGTACATGTCTCTTTTGAGTCTTAGGACAGTTAGAAGTTCTTTGGACATCCATTCTGGCTTCTTTGCACTTGTCCTATTTTTTCTCTTTGTTGGCACTGTTTGCAATTGTGCCTTGAGTATTTCACTCTTGAAAAATTCCCGTCCACCCACAACTCCCTTATCTTTTAGTATCTGTGAGCATCTGTGTCCATGGAATAACAGTGTGTCACCTCATAATGCATTATACTAATCCAAGGTGTTCCAGGGTATATTTGCATTATACTAATCCAAGGTGTTCCAGGCTATATTTTTGATCCACAGCATTAGACCATAAGAATGGGATCATGAACACTTAATAGAATCCTTACTCATTTTCTCTCTGTTTAAACCAAAGTTAAGCAGTGTAAGGATTCCACTACAGCAATTAAATTCTACCACTGCATACTAGGTCTTTGTAACTACATAATATGAAAGCATAACCTCCAAATGATGCTGAACTGAAACTCCCAGCAGTCCTACTTGGCATAGTTAATTGTGAGGAATGCTGGGAATTGCAGTCCAGCAACACCTAGTCTGAACTGTCTATAAAACCCAAGATGACTAAACTGAAATTGTTGTTCTTTGGACATATGAGAAGACATGATTGACTAGAAAAGACAACAATGCTTGGTAAGGTTGAAGGCAGTAGAAAAAGTCTGCATTATAGATGGATATACTCAATTGATTGAGTATATTCATCTTAATGGAAGCCATAGCCATAGCACAAAGTGAGAAGAACTTGGAAGGGATGGGAGCAAGGTGGCGGTGTTGAGGAGTTGTCCATCTCTCCGTTGCCATGGACCGACCACTATCTGGTCAGCTTTAGACTCACTGCACCTCCCAACCTCTGCAGAGGTGGGGGACCCATTAAGTTGGTCCGCCCCAGAATGGATTCCTGACAGCTCTTGGGGATTTCCCGGCCACCTCAGTTGGTGATTCTGTTGATGCCCTGGTATCCCTCTGGAATGGGAGAATGACTAGGGCAATAAACACGATTGCTCCAGAACATCCCCTCTCAAGTAGCCGAGCTAAACCAGCGCCTTGGTTCAACGAGGAACTGGCAGCGATGAAGCGAAGTAAGAGGAGACTAGAGCGCGTGTGGCGTTCGGACCCGAGCGAGTTAAATCGAACACGGTATATCGCCTTTCTCAGGGCATATGCCGCGGCAATAAAGGCAGCAAAGAAATCTTTCTTTGCTGCCAATATTGCATCCACAAAGAACCGTCCGGCTGAGCTGTTTCGAGTTGTCAGAGGTCTATTAAATCCCACCACTCCGGATGGGAACCCTGACAACTCGACGGCCCGCTGTGAAGCATTTGCTCGGTTCTTTGCGGACAAAGTCGCTTTGATCCGTTCTGACCTGGACACCATGTTAACGGCAGTCTCAGAGGATGTAACACGAGCATCTGCTTATCCGATTTTGTTGGATTCATTTCAATTGGTGAAACCTGAGGATGTGGACAAGATACTTGGAGGAATGAGGGCAACCACATGCATCCTAGACCCCTGCCCATCCTGGCTTCTAAAGGAGGCCAGAGGGGGATTGGCCGAGTGGGTGAAGGTGGTGGTTAATGCCTCCCTTCGGGAAGGCAAAATTCCAGCCAGCTTAAAACAAGCTGTGATAAAACCGCTGTTGAAAAAACCATCACTGGATCCCACTCAATTCGTCAACTATTGGCCTGTTTCCAATCTTCCCTTTTTGGGAAAAGTCCTGGAACGTGTGGTGGCCTCACAACTCCAGGTATTCTTGGTAGACACTGATTATCTAGATCAGGCACAGTCTGGCTTCAGGCCGGGACATGATACCGAGACAGCCTTGGTCGCCTTAGTGGATGATCTGCGCCGGGAGCTCGACAGGGGGAGGGTGTCCCTGTTGGTTCTGCTGGACCTCTCAGCGGCCTTCGATACCGGTCGACCACGGTTTCCTTCTGAGACGCCTCGCGGGAATGGGCCTTGGTGGCACTGTTCTGCAGTGGCTCAGGTCCTTCCTAGAGGATCGTACTCAGAAGGTGTTACTGGGGGACAACTGCTCTTCCTCACAACCATTGTCTTGTGGGGTCCCGCAGGGCTCAATATTGTCCCCCATGTTATTTAACATCTACATGAAGCCGTTGGGAGAGATCATCCGGAGTTTCGGGGTGCGGTGTTATCTGTACGCAGATGACGTCCAACTCTGTCACTCCTTCCCACCTACTACTAAGGAGGCTGTTCAGGTCCTGAACCGCTGCTTGGCCGCTGTATCGGACTGGATGAGGGCGAACAAATTGAAACTGAATCCAGATAAGACAGAGGCACTCCTGGTCAGTCGAAAGGCCGAACAGGGTATAGGGTTACAGCCTGTGTTAGATGGGGTTACACTCCCCCTGAAGACGCAGGTTCGCAGCTTGGGTGTGATCCTGGACTCTTCGCTAAGCTTGGAACCCCAAGTTTCGGCGGTGTCCAGGGGAGCATTTGCACAACTCAAACTTGTGCGCCAGTTGCGCCCGTACCTTGGGAAGTCTGACTTGGCCACGGTAGTCCACGCTCTGGTTACATCCCGGATTAGACTACTGCAACGCTCTCTACGTGGGGTTGCCTTGAAGACTGCTCGGAAGCTTCAAATGGTCCAGCGCTCGGCAGCCAGGTTGCTAACAGGAGCGGCACTCAGGGAGCATACCACTCCTCTGTTGCGCCAGCTCCACTGGCTGCCAATTTGCTACCGGGCACAATTCAAAGTGCTGGCTTTAGCCTATAAAGCCCTAAACGGTTCTGGCCCCACTTACCTCTCCGAACGCATCTCCACCTATGAACTGACTAGAACATTAAGATCGTCTGGGGAGGCCCTGCTCTCGGTCCCGCCTGCGTCACAGGCGCGCTTGGCGGGGACGAGAGACAGGGCCTTCTCAGTGGTGGCCCCTCGGCTATGGAATGCCTTACCGGCAGACATCAGACAGGCATCTTCGTTGCTGGCGTTTCGGAGAAAGGTTAAGACCTGGCTTTATGAACAAGCGTTTGGTTAAGCAGTGCAACCAATCAAAGGAAGACGGTAAATGGAACATAGGAATGGCACAAGGATTATGAGAACGGATCTGATTTCACTGAGGCGTTATGTTTTGTTTTGTTGACTTGTCTTGTTTTGATTTGTTAATTGTTGTGGATTGATGTGGTTGATCCTGTTTGTGGCATTTGTTGCGTTTTAATTGCACTGACATTGTTTGATAATTTGTACCATGTAAACCACATTGAGTCGCCGGTATAGAAATAAAGCAAATAAATAAATAAAAAGTTTCTCATTCATAGGATTATTAACAGCTATTAATTGCTATTATTAACAGCAATTAATCCACAATTGTCTCCATATAAGTGTTACTCTATTATCTTTCTCTTTGCATTTGGCCATTGAAAGCAAGTTAATAGACTCCAGTATGACATTTCTGTTTTGGTGCCTTGATGGATGGACACTGCTGTCATAAAATGATGAACACACCCAGGAGATTAAGACACACAAACCTAAATTTCATTGCCAATTCCAACTAGAATAGATCCATTGATTCATAGTTATATAAACTGCACTGCTACCATGGATTTACTCCAGTTGAGACTAGCAATTAGATTAAGGTCATGGCAGACATACCTGAGCATTCCCTCGAAAAGTTGCTTCCACTTGCGCTTTAAGGATGTTGCATTTCAAATGTTCAGGTACAGAGGAGGGTGACGACAACAGATGATGATGAAAGTTCCTCTCTGAGGTTTTCTTATTTTCACTCTGTCATTAAGATAGGAAGAGACACTAGTGAATAGAAACAGATACTCAGTAATCAAGGAATATTTCTTATAGAGCAAAAACTTTGAAATGCTTCAAATGCATTCTGGAGGAGTCTGGGCCCACATCCGACAGGCAGGCTCGTGCCTCCGGCAGCCCGGAAAGCAGTGACAGCCAGGTGTGGGAGGATCCACCACGTGGCCTGGCCTTACATGGAGCCTCTTGCCTGGCTCACATCCCTGCCGGCTGACAAGTGGCAAGAGCCAGGCGAGGCAGGCTTTGCATGAGGTCAGGCCTTGCGCGGAGGACCCCTCACCGGCCTTGCGGCCTTGCTGGACGGCGAGCATGTGAGGCAGGTGAGGTAGGCTTTGCGCGAGGCCAGGCCTCGCGCGGAGGAGCCCTCACTTGCCTCGCGTCTTTGCCAGATGATGAGAGTGTGAAGCAGGCTTTGTGCGAGGCCAGGCCCTTGCACAGAGGACCCCTCGCCTGCCTTGCACCTTTACTGGACGGCAAGAGTGCGAGGCAGAATTTGCACGAGGCCAGGCCTCATGCGAAGGAGCCCTTGCCTGGCCCGCGCCCTTGGGGTGGGGCCAACAGAGGTGGCCTCGCAACCCCTCCGAAATGGCCAGGCATCCCTCTGGGGGTCGCAACCACCAGGTTGAGAACCGCTGTTCTAGAACATAAGAAGCAACTATATGGGATATATGGAATAATTTCCTCCCCCAAACCCTAGTCAACCATGCACCTCAAAAGAAGCTCAAATACCTATATTTCCTCTTCATTCCCACTCAACATGGCAAGAAGATGCAATGTCAATTCACTTCACTTCAGAAGGGAATTGAGGTATTGGGGGCTCTGGATGTAGTGGTAGGTATTTTCGAATGTGTCCATGCTGCTGGGAAGCTTTCAGGATGGTTTTATGGGAAAATATTTGAAAAGTGCACAATTTAACAAATTTTAGTTTGGGGGCCTACAGGCCACACAGTTTAGGACAAGCCATTTCGCTCTTTCTGACTTAAATAATCTCTTTCCATGAGGAAATACACTTGGGATGAGTTGCTGAGATTAAATCCTGACAAGCCTCTGGGTTTGCAGTCTCAGCCCCTGATTTCTGCAGTCAACTGATTTCCATCCCTACAAATACTTTTCAACCTCATCAGAGAGATTTTGCTAAACAAGGCACTCCCAAGCACATATTCCTGTCCCGTACCTTATTGATGCTGATATGCAGAGCTGGCCATGGTCCTACTACTTTCACAGTCTCGACTTCCATCTTTTGGCGAGGAGTTCCTGGATGCCCAAAATGAGGAAAGAAAACAGCCTGAAAATAAAGTACAAAGTCTGCAAAAAGAACAAAATCACTACTTTTGCCACAAAACTGAGTTTTACATTTTGGTTCATTCTCTTTGGAAAAATAGCTGTGTGTATCAGTCATAATAATCAAGTATTAAAATATGACATTAGTGGCTGTTAGTTACCCAACAATAGACACTGTTTCTGTTCCTTGACCTAATGAATATGATCAGAAGGTTCAGCTAGGGCCCTATCTACACTATGATATAATGCAGTTTGAAACTGCATTATAGGGTCAGTGTAAATTCATATAACACAGTTCAACTGCACTGTATATATCTGTATATGGCTTTCAGCTTAGATTCCTAAGTTAATTATATTAATGTCCTAACAATGATACGCTTATTTTAAAGTTTTAATTCTCTTCACCCTTAACTTTGATATGCTTGTACCAGACTATGTCCCTCTTTTCTCAAATTGGTCACTAACCGTAAAAAAGTGAAATCCTGCAAGGATTTAAGGCAGGACCTTTTGAATTCTCTACCACAGGGATCCTCCCCTTCCCAAACTACATTTCCCAGAATTCTGTGCTGTCTCTTTCCCAGCTCACTCAGTTTGTCCCGCCCTACTGCTTTCCTCTCCTCATGGCTAGAGGCTAATAATTTAAAGAGAAATTGCAGCCTTTTTAACTTCCCTTTGCTTGTGCTGATAATGAAACTGACTTTGCTAGGCTTCTGAGCATTACAGAATTCAAACAAAAAAGTCTTGGGTAAATTCTGATTCTTAACTTTTTGCATGGGCGCCCTCCCCCAGCGTTTCTCAATATACGTTTGTATATATAAAAATGTATGAATGAGATATGACTTACTAAATAGAAACCAAATTTGGGACACCCCTAAGATTCAGAAAGGTAAGAGCCAGCAGGGATGGAAAGGATAGATTTTCTGTAGTTTGGGTAGGAGGGAGGAGGATGCAAGGAGGATTGGAGGGCACTGACATCCCACTTCCCTGGCCTGCCTGAACCCAGGGAGTGTGGAATGTCTATCCCTGCTGCCCCAAAATTGGGAAAAGTCTGAATCTTCCTGGGTAATTCAGACTTTTCCCAGTGTTATTTTAATCTGTGGTCAAGATGGATTAATTGCCTACTCTGAGTTCAATCACATTAGCCTGTATGTATCTTGTAGATTGCTACACTGCATTAAAAGGCAGTGTAGATCAGGTCTAAGGTGGGCCTTATCTAGACTTATTCTAGTTCTGAAAGTACAAAAAACATAATGGATTTGGACCATTAGTTCCTATGTCTCATTCTGTCTCTGTTTCTATTGTTAATTTGACGTTCTGGTTTTACAAGCATACTGCAATCTTTCCCTGAAACACTGCTCTGAAGACAGTAAAAATGTCAAGTATTATAGCTCTTGTTTTTTAACAATACTATATAATATGTACTTGGAGCAATTAGTAAATAAAATAAGTTAAATGTATAGCCCCCTCATATCTTTTATACCTTTTATATAATATATTACAACCTGTTACTAGTTTATCTTTAAATATATTTCACCATATTAATGTTTGATACTTTCTGTTCACACTTCAGATAGTTTAAAAATGTCAGTTGAGTTTCTGGTCTTCAAGCTTTATACTACAAATTAAAAAGGAAGTCAAAAAGCTCATATTTATTAAAAAAGTTGAAGGGAAAAATCATTTTAATAAGCTTACTCTAGACTTAAAAGAAACGTAACCACATCTATTTTTCACCATTTTTGGCTTAGGTGTTAGTCATAGCAACTTAAAACAATTAAAACCAATGAAAAAAAATTCCATAAAATAACAATATAGTAAAACAGATGCAATAAATTATACCAGAATTTATCTACCTATCTCCTTGAGGCAATGTGGTCTAGTGTTGGACTATGACTCTGGAAACTAAGGACCTTATCCGATGGGTGAGGAGAAAGTGGGGGAAAGCAGGGGAAAGTGGAGGGAACTGTCGTACACTGTTACCTTCCATCTTTCCCTGTCTTCAGAGATGGCCAGCCATCCCACATGTTTACTTGGCCTTTTTCCATCTTCTCCCGCATTCTGCCACTTGGCCTTTGAACTCTGATTCCATGTGCTTAGGGAATACAGCGCTATGGAGCCTACCAAAAGTGCCCTTACATCATGTGATGGGCTCCCTTTCCTAAATGCATGGAAACAGAGCCTGAAGATCGTCTGATGAGGTCCTAAGACTCCAGAGACCAGGATTCGAATCCCTGCTTCACCAGGGAAACCTCTGAGGCCGGGTCACATTATCTCAGATAAAATCAAAGGCAAAACACTTCTGAACAAATCTTGACAGGAAAATGCTGTGATAGGTTTACCATAGGGTTGCCATAAGTCAGAAATAACTTGAAGGCACATAATTATAACTTATCTATCCAGGGAAATGGTGATGTGTTGAAATATTTAAATGCTTACCCTCCAGACAAACACCATTCCATAATATGGAATTCTGCTCTAAAGGCCCTCTTCCTACAGATGAGGCTGTGCATTGAAGATTATTAAGGCATACAAAGGAGGAAGTGACAATACTTTTAAAGTCTAAGAAATCTTTTAAAAGCGGAGGGCAAGGTACAAGATTTAACAGATCCCATTTTCAAAGTCAAATGTCAAAATCTTGCTTTAAAAGGAAAATAAAAGAAAATCCTAGACAGAGAACTACAAAATTAAAAACTACTTCTTCTTCTTCATCTTCTTCTTCTTCAAATCCTCGCAGTATCTTTTAAATTCATTGTACAATATCTATACATAAAAAATTATTGGTGATCATAAAATCATAGAATCAAAGAGTTGGAAGAGACCTCATGGGCCATCCAGTCCAACCCCCTGCCAAGAAGCAGGAATATTGCATTCAAATCACCCCTGACAGATGGCCATCCAGCCTCTGCTTAAAAGCTTCCAAAGAAGGAGCCTCCACCACACTCCGGGGCAGAGAGCTCCACTGCTGAATGGCTCTCACAGTCAGGAAGTTCTTCCTCATGTTCAGATGGAATCTCCTTTCTTGTAGTTTGAAGCCATTGTTCCGCGTCCTAGTCTCCAAGGAAGCGGAAAATAAGCTTGCGTCCTCCTCCCTGTGGCTTCCTTTCACATATTTATACATGGCTATCATATCTCCTCTCAGCCTTCTCTTCTTCAGGCTAAATATGCCCAGCTCCTTAAGCGGCTCCTCATAGGACTTGTTCTCCAGACCCTTGATCATTTTAGTCGCCCTCCTCTGGACAACTCCTCTAATCAGGCTATAACAAAATAATTTTTAAAAGATACTTTTTTCTTTAAAACCAGCTTCATTACATAAAGGTATGAACACAACATCACTTGAGGCTGATTGTCCCTTGCTGCTTGTTAGAAAGAAGTATTCTTGATGATCAAACACTCCCACTTCACATTGTCTTCCAAACAATCTTCAACCATAAAACAGATGACTTAATTTGGTAGACTTACTATTTGGGCTCGGAATGATAGGTACAGAATCCTTGCTATCCGGTGGCACAAGTCCTCCATAATGAAGATGGTGGTGATGGTGGTGGTGATGTCTTGCTGTTATTTTTGTAGTATATGACGTTCCACCATTTTCTTCAATGTGAAACGGCGGGCCTTCAGTACTGTTTAAAGGGTAACTGTGGAACACAATTGTGGTCCAAATTAGAACATTAAGAAATAACACATTATATTTGAGATGGAACAGTAACAATAATCTAGAAGTTGCCATCAAAGATCTTCATGTTGAAGTATGCTCCTAATGGCTCCTGAGCACCTCTCAGGTCTCATAAATGTTTTACTAGTTCTCAACACAGATGGAGGTGATGAAAAAATAAGACCAACACAAGCAGAATATTCTAAATAAGTATAACTGGATGGAGGCTAAAGTCCAAGGCTGCCATCACATTGAGGGACCAGAGTTATCTACAGGGATTTTTTTAAGGTGGAGGAAAAAAAGGAAAATACAGACCACTCAGCCTGGTTGAGGACAATCTGTGTGATCTTTGCAGGATTTAATATCTAGTATGCTCCAATGTGGTGTAGTGTAGTTAAGTGCCGAGATGTGGACATGGCCCTTGGTCAACCACTGATATGTGACTCTCACTTCCTACATTAAGGTGAATACCAACTGAGCTCTAAAGATTGACATGTTTACAATGAAACAACAGCAAGAAAATCTTCATTTCAAAAATCCTCCTTGAGGTAGATTTCCATCAAATCTCCAACATCCCATGTGTCTGGCGACATCAGTGTTTGTGAATGAAGTGGCTTGTTTACATTTCATTTCAATTTACCTTCAGTACCAGTCATGAGACAAAGGACTTCTTTCATGATTTTTGTGGAGAAGCTATATTGGCCATTGACTGAGGGATTGTATCGTTGTTGGTATGCTACATCTCTCAGCAACATTTAGTACTATTGGAAACTCCATGGCATCATTTATGCATTCTGTAGTTCCAGTCTGGATTTCAGAGTCTATATTGACACTTTTAAAATGTCCTAGTTTATCTCATCTCCTTCCAGTTTTGCTCTTTGCCTTCTAATTACATCATTGCAAACAAATGGGGAGAGGATGGTGCAGAGTCTTGCCCTCCTGAAGATGCATGCCTTCAAATCAAATGTGGATTTATGACAACACCATGAATTTCAGTTTTTCCCCCCCTCAGGCAATAAGTAGTCAGAGGTGCTTTTGTTCATTCTTTTCTCTGAATTATTGCCTACAGTACATGGTATGTGTTGTCATTTAAGTGCCAACCAGAACTGATCCTGCTTAGCTTTAAAGTTTACACAGAATCCAATTACTTTAGGGCACATGTATCAAATGCAAGGCCCGTGGGGCAAATTTGACCCACCACATCATTTTATGTGACCCATGAGGCTTTCAATGCCAGGGCAACATAGTTACATTTATACCATTTTATAATTGCAAACAGCCCTTTGAAGGCAACCATAGGGCTGATGTGACACTTAGGAAAAATGAGTTTGACACCCATACTGTAGGGTATTTTAGCCTTCTCAGTAGGCTCAGGCAAAAGAAAAATGCTACATCCTGACTGTTCTCTGAAGTTGCTTGGCTATACACCTATCTGGGTTGTCATCTGTGAGACTTCGATTATATTCCATTATGACCCAATTATAATTTTGCATTTTATCTGGCGTTTACTGCTGTGGTTGAATTTGTCTCACTTTTCCAACACTGTTTTTCCTTATTGTTATTATGTCATTATGTCAAAGAGATCTCTGTGAAAGAAGAGGGAAGATAATTCCAGAGCCATTGCATTTCCATCCCCCCACCCCCCCTTAAATTATGGCAGCTCTTTTAGGGCCTCTACTGGTAGCTAAACAGGTTGTAACAAATAAAGTTGAATGTTGTTGCATGCCTTTAACTTTGGCTTGTGCCGATTTTATTCTTGGCCAGATTTCCCCAGGGGAGGATTGCCACTTCCATCCTTGGAGGCTGAGAGAGGTAATGGGCCAGAAGTTGTTTCCATGTCTGAACATAAATCAAATATGGGACTCCTGGCGTCCCAGTCCAGTTTTCACAGTACTACTACTATTGCTACTACCGTGCAACCTTCTGTTAATATACCTCTGAGTTAATTTCTGTTAATAGGGGACTCATTACAGTAGCTTGTGCGATTTCCCCAAGTAGGAAGCCAATGTACAAAACCTATACCTGTACAAGGATATTTTTCATAAACACGAAAATCTGAGATGTCTCTCACATACTGTTTTTGCTGTTTCTGTGCTTGTGTGGCAACTACAGTGTTCCTGTTTTCTTTTGCGCTGAGCTGTACTTTGCAACATTTATCCTCTCAAAGAAACGGGAAATACAAGTCAGTATTAGTTTACACACGTGAAGCATCAATGGTTATACTCTATAGTTTAGATTAGCAATGATTAGAGTTTTAAAACTCTCTCATCTAGCAGCTAGAATGCTAGCACATGATGTGACTTCTCTACTGAGATACTATATAATCCCACTTGCTCTGAAGCAAGTTGAGACATACTGATTCACACATTATGTAAATTTAGGCATACCAGTGATCCTGTGTATCCTGTGACAAAGCAGCATACATTTTTTTTAAAAAAAAACCCTATGTTATTTACTGAACTATGGCCTGTATAGCTCAGTACTTTCCATTTTAAGTCACAGTAGTTCTCCAAGGTATCAGCCGTGCCTTCTACCTAGGATACTGGGGACCTTATGTATGCAAATCATGTGCCTCCAAGGTATGGCTCACTGTCAGTTTCAGGGAAGCATCCAGAGGGAATCATGCATAAGACTTTCCTTGCACAGTCTAGCACAGCACAGGGTTTTTAAAACCACAATAAAGTGTTTTTCTTAAAAGATTTAAAATCACACTTAGTCAAGCATATAGTTATTTTATTGCATCAGACTGGATAGCCTTAATATGACCTTGCATTCTCATCCCAAGCACACTTATCAGAAAGGGCCACATTCAGGATGGGGAATTTTGAAGATGATGAATAATCATATCCATGAACCTATATTTTAAAGTGAAAAATGATTTTGTTAATGAGTTATTTCCTTAGAATGAGGATAAAAAATTAATCAGATTACTGTAATACTTCTAAAAGTTACTGAAGTACAAAATACCCAATATGATGACCATGGTGTCATTTTGGGTTCCTTCCCCTTACTGATTTTAACAGGAATTTGGAGGCTGGCATGTTGCAATATGACACACTGGTCTCTAGCTCTCATTCAAATATGTTCAGTAGCCTTCTTAGTTAGGGTATTGTAAACTGTTGATGGGACTTGTGTGTAACCCTGCTACAATTTATTATTTTGTACAGAAATGTATTATTCAAATATTTTATCTAGCCTAGTTGCTAAGAATGATTTGAATCAGGGATTACTTTAAAGAGATACATTTAGGGATGACTGAGCCATGCCAAATGGGGCCTCTGTGTAAAGATATGCACTGAATCAGTGGTTTGGTTGGCACCCTGCTTTGACAAGTTAGATTTTGGAGATGGTTCAAGTGGATTCTCCCATGGAATATAACTGAAAAGCAACAAATAACTGTTTTATCTTTTTTACCGAAACTGGATAAATTCTGCCTCTTATTTGGCGACTACATCACTATTGATATGCATATGTATATCCCTTTTTGGATGAAGTACAGGGGTCTATTCTGATGCTCTGGCATTACAAACTAAAACCTCCCAGGAGTTCTCAATCCCTGGGAGGGCTACCAGTGCTGCTTTGTGGTGATAGCAAAAGAAGGGAAAGAGGGGATTCAGACCATTCACATACAATTGCTTGAGCTATCTGGGAAAGGAAAGGAGGATGCACTCTATCAGAGTGCTTTCTTGTTTTTTCTGCACTTGTATTTCATGGTCAAAACTGCCTCCATGGGGATCCCCAAAATTGCCCCCATGGGGATCCCCAAAATTGCCCCCTATCTGGGAGTTTACAGCTGCCAGGGTGGGGGAAAGATATAGAACTATGTCAAACCCGCTATGCTTTAGAGGCATTTTGTGCAAAGCATTTAGTTTGTTTTTGAAATATATACTTACCCTTTCATTGGTGTGAGGATTGTGTGGTTCCCCAATTGCTGCTGAATTTGGATGTCAAACTATGCTCATTATTGGCTAGGGCAGTGATTTCCAAACTGTGTGTCAGGACATGTTAGTATGCTTGCTGCAATGTGTTGGTGAGTTGTGCAAATGTAATGAGAAACCTCTGAGTCTATGTGAAATAAGCAATAAATCATATATTTTTAAATATATATATAAACAAAAGGTTTTCATATCGTGTCCACATACATTTCATTATTACAATTTATGAATGTCCCTGTCCCTTATAAGGGGTTAGGTTTAACCTCTGGTTTGCTAGTAATACTGAATTACTGTTTCACAAACATGAAATGTTTGGAAAGCTCTGGGCTAGGGCTTCGGGCACTGGCTTGCCAACATCTGGAAAACCACGACTCCCACTATCACCTTGTTGTTTTGAACAGTCGTTATCAAAATGACATGCAGCCGAGCTAGGTCTCCAGTTAATAAATGTACAAGATTTCAGAAGGAAAGCATTTAGTGGGGAATCTGTGCTCTTCAGAAACCGTGATATAAAAGCTTGCATTGCATGACTTGAATATCTATGTAAGGATTCGTGAGTAATAAACACTTTTTGTAATTTAGGCTGATTCTTTATACATTATTCCTCGTGGATTTTATTTGCGAGATCCATGTGCTGATCTCGCAAATAAACATCTGAACTTTAAGCAAACATTTTTTTTTCTAAAAACCCAGGACCAAGCAAAAGCTGACCGGCCAGTTTTGCTGCTTTTTCAGTATACTTTATTTATAGTGTTTCTACTCTTGTCAGACAAGTTTCAGAAGGCTGAGGTAGTTCAGTGCAGTTTTCCTCATGCAAACTTCCATTCTGTTCCCCCAACATTTAACATCCACGAGTAAGAGGGGGAAGTTGTTGAGAACTGGCACCAAAGTTCATTTCTCCAATATGCAAAGGACATAAAGGGCAAAGGATGTGCTTTTCTCTCTCACACATCTCAACAAGGTAGTCATAGAATCACAGAATCAAAGAGTTGGAAGAGACCTCATGGGCCATCCAGTCCAACCCCCTGCCAAGAAGCAGGAATATTGC